TGGCTTCTTCGACCAATTACAAACAGTCGCACGTAAATAACGTCATCACTGATTCGGCGAATAGTGGCCAGCTGGGACGTTTGAAAGTGAGCGATGTGGAGGTGAAAAAAGGAGATAAAGAAGAGGAGCAAAGCGATAGTTCATCGTCACGTATTTTCGTTTACGTTCTCTGCGGAGTCGGTGCCTTATTGGTGATTGCATTGATCATAGCTGCCATTTCTAAGGTAAGAAAACATACAATTTGTTGTCATTCAAAATAAAATCATCCATGTCGCTGATTTTGCGTTACTCGACTTCTACTTTAGGATAATTCATTTGCAGCATGTAATAACTTATGTATTTTTCTTCTTCTAGTACTATAACCGAAGAAAGAACTCCGTCCAAGTTCTTGAGGTTCCCTCCAACGATGGCGGCTCGGGCCGTTAATCATTCTGCAATGCGTGTTTTTGAAAATGTGAACAATTGATCCTAAATGTGACCTTTAACTAAATTTTCCGGTTTTCACTAGTTTATAATTGTTATAATATCGAGGTAGAGTAAGAAAAAAAAATCAAGAGATTTGATTTTTAGATATACATTTTTGGTGAGCTGCTCTTCATAGGAAACACCGAGGCAATCAAGCTACTATTGTCGACTTAGAACACATTTTCCGGTAGGAGCGTGACACTTTTTCGTGGGGTTTACAGACCCTGCAGTTGCTGATCAATCGACGAAGAATAGGATCTCATGCTATCTGCTATCTCTAAGTTTTTGTGGTAACAACGACCTCCACTTCTCATTTCGTAGAACTGCACAAGAACAAACAGCACGTACCAACAACTTGTTTCAGTCTTACGCAGCCGGTTATAGGGGTTAATTTGGTAGGAGGGAGGCTTGGGTCGAGTCTTCTGAGAATTTCATGCATAAAATTAATAAACGAAGTAACAGTATGTTGCATCAGTTTTATTAAGAATATAGATATAATTACCTGGTAGCACGATCTTAACAATGATCGGGACCCTATTCAAACGCTAGGACCTGAATTTAACGCCTCGGCGTTTATTTCCAAATTTACGTACAGTTTCATGATGGCGTCACCCGCGGCGTTCATATGAAGCCGGTATTTATAAACGGGGTCCGGTGTTTGTCGAGAAAATACGTAACTGCGAAACAATTGCCTGCTTCGGATGTCAGCTGACTCCATCTCCTTTTCGGGTGTCGCATTTCAAGGATTTCATCATTCGCGTGATGGTGCATTAACCAATCGCTTAGGGAGCATAACAGAAAAATCCTGCTAGTCGAAATCGATACAAATTGAATGACCCTGCATCTTTGTACGTGCGCTGGAAACAAAGCCATTGGAATGACGTCCCTTCAATCAATTGTGCTTTTTCTGTGGTTGAGTACATTGTGCATAGCCCAGGTAAGCCTAAAGCGTTGTTTGTTCACATTTCTCATCACTTCTCAGTTTTAAGAGCTGAAGGTTAACAAAAGCAAAAAAATCGATCGACGCGTTCGCTTCTGTGGGGCTTGTAGGGTCGTTGCATGGGAAGTCGATTTGAAGTTATGTCGGCAGTTTCCACTAAAACTTATTTCAGAGATATCCGTTGACATTTGAGTCTTGCCCGTCCAAAGAAGAGTTCGAAGTGGGTCAACTTTGAACAGATAACAGCCGATGTATTTTTCTTGAAGGTGAGGAATAGTTCCGACGTGGTTAAAGCAGTTTTGTGTCGGGTCACGCGGTGCCCTCTTGGATTAGTCTCTAAGATCTCTAAATTTCACAAAGTCAAACTTTAATTCGTTGGTGTTTGAATCAGCTGTTAACGTTAAAGGCTTTGAACTATCAGTCTCGATTGATTGGTGTACTTAAAGTTTGATTCAATTCAGATCTGCTGGTGGTGGTAATCTAGGTAAGCTCAATCTGAGAGGGGAAATGTCACTCAAATTGCTGAGTATTTTTCAGCAGTAACCATAATTAAACGTTTCAGAGGCTTTGACATGACGTGTAGCCTTTCGAGAGAAATGAAACATTTTTGAATAGCTTAGCTCGACTATCAACGAAGATACTCATCAATGCTAATTGCTGCTAGAATCAACAAACTCACTCCAGACGCTGCAAGGATAATCAAATTCGTTTTGCTCCCTGCCAAGATCCGAAAATTCCTTCGAATTTCTGCTAGGATCGGCAAATTCATTCTAGACACTGCAAGGATCAGCAAATTTGTTTTGCATATGCTGCTTGGATCAGCAAATTCTGCCAAGATCAGCAATTTCATTCTAAATGCCGCTTAGATCAGCAAATTCGTTCTGTACACTTATAGGATTCTAATTGCTGTTAGGATCAGCAAATTAATTCTAGACGGTACTGGGATCAGCAAATTTGTTCTGCATATGCTGCTTGGATTAGCAAATTCTGTCAAGATCATCAATTTCGTTCTAAATGCCTCCAAGATCAGCAAATTCGTTCTCAACACTGATAGGATTCTAATTGCTGCTAAGCTCAGGAAATTAATTCTAGACGCTGCTAGGATCAGCAAATTTCTTTTGCATACTGCTTTGATCAGTCAATTCTTATGCATATTGCCAAGATCCGCAAATTCGTTTTGATTGCTGTTAGGATCAGCAAATCCGTCCTTTTCACTACTCGGAGCTGCAAATTCGTTCTTGGGTCTGATTCATCCGATCTTAAATTAAACATTTATGAAGTGTCTTATTTAGCGAAAGCGATTTAAGGGGTTAATTTTCAAGCTTTGTCCTTCAGTAGAGGATTAAAAGACACTTATTTCTCCTGGGGGCGATACATTAAGTTGTACTGATCTTGCTTCAGAAAAATTTCATAAACCACACGAAGGGCTATTGCATCTGGTATGATCAGTGTACCACTGGCGATAAACCACTCAACTGCTTCTATAACGGACCAGCTAAAAATTTAACCGATCCAGAAGGCGTGCAGATACTGAACAGTTTATGTCCAGAATTAAGGGGTCAACATACTTGCTGTTCGACCGAACAGCTGGTGGCGTTGGATGAGAACTTGCAAACGATGCTGGAGCTTACCAATCGTTGTCCTGCCTGCTGGAACAACATTAGGAGGTTGTACTGTCAGCTGACATGCAGTCAAGATCAGTCGCTTTTCACGAATCCCAATCTTGTCATCCCAGTGTCTGAGGGGAGAGAAGCCGTTGTCAGGGTGGAGTACTTTGTATCACCCCAATTCAAACAAGGTCTGTTCGAGTCCTGCAAGGACCTAACCCTTGAGGGGTACACGAACTTAAAATTGTTCTGTGGTACGATAGGGTCAGATGAGAAGCCTGAGTGTACCCCAGAAAGTATGATCCGTTACATGCAAAGCACGGAAAGCGGACTGGCACCATACGCTTTTGATATCTACTTCCCTGACATATTACCAAGAAACCTGTCGTGGATGAACGAAACTACTTTCAAATGCAACAAGCCTTTTATCGATCCGCAATCGAACAAGACAGCAAACGTTTGTACCTGTCAAGACTGTGTCGGCTCCTGTCCGAGGCGATTAGAACAGTTGATCATAACATCCACGCACCCCACTCCGACAGGGTATCACAGGTATGGAGACGGCAAGTGGATTCCTTTTGGGCCAATGTTTCACTTGGAACTCTTAAATCAGGTAAGTTGATACCTTAGAGTATGAACTAACTTAAATTAAGCTAGTACAAAATTTCACGTACTCACATAAAAACTTTCAGAGACCAGACCCGCGAGAAAATGAACCGTCTTCAGTCTGATGATCCCTTCGTGCGTAAACTTTGAACAGCAACTCTTTGTCCCTAAACGTTTTATTTGACTCTGTATATTTATGCAAACAGTAGTCTTAGGATAAGAGCCAGAAACAAATCTCCATATCGTATTTACCATATTTTGTTTTTATAGGCCCTAGATCTTCAAAATGCTATCACGAACTTAAAAGTGCCATTTGGGGATTCCAGCGTTACCTTCGCGGACATTTGCTTTAAACCGATGGGCCACCTACCTTTTGCTCCTAACACGACCGAACGATGCGAAATCCAGAGTGTCTTCCAGTATTTCCAGAATAACAAAACGAAGTTGAACAAATGCCTTACTACCTTAGGCTATAATTGTAGCGATCCAAGCGTTCCTGACTTCAAAGCTGCTGACTTCCACGATCACCTCTTGTTTTGCACGAGGTAAGAAATCCTGCGAGCAAGTGCTTCTTTTTCAGCTCAACAAATCAAACCGCGCAATTCAGGAGTCTCTTCTTTTCAAACTTGAAACAACGGTTTGTTGCATTTCGTTTAGTTTTATGCTTTACCATGGTGCTGCTGATTCTAGACACTTTCAAAGGTTAAATAGGGATTTTCAAGTGTTTTAAAAATGAAACCTTCAAATTTGTCAGCGAAAAGAACGTATATAACTAATGTAGTTCCCAGTCTTCTTTGCGCTAACGCCAGTAATTTGGTGCGCATGTCTCTTCGGGAACGGTCTCGTTCTGTTTGACCAAGACCCTTTCCGTAAGATACTTAGTACTTGCGGGTTCCCCACAGATGTGTTTTAGTTAAGGTTCCCCTTTACCTTAAACAGACTTAATTATCGAGACATAGATCAGCATTGAAAATTATAAAAACAGATTGACACCAAGAGAATATCAGTCAATAACCTCTTGTAGAAACAGATGGATTTCCTCCAACTTACTCTCTTCTTAAAGTAGACTTGATGGTGTATTTCATACAAAATTCAACATTATTGCCACTTACTATTCATATACTAGCTAACTCCATTGTTTTTTTTTTTACATATTAGATGTCCCTCGTGTTCAATGGATTCGCGACTCAAAGAACCCTGCATCAGTGCGTTTGGAGGTGTTATAAACCCTAAACTTGTATTGGGTGGATACCCGTACGATGTATACCAAAACGCTACAACCCTAATGATTTACTTTTCAGTAAATAATTACAAAGACGAAAGCAAGCTGGCAGAAGTAATTACTTGGGAAAAGGCCTTCAAGGAGTTCATGGCAGATTATGTAAATAACACCGCGCACGCCAATCTCACTATTGCATACTTTACACCAGAATTGAGATCTAATGACGTTGAGGTCCAGTTTGACCTAAGGGCTTAGTCTATTTCGTCAATCGTTGCGCTAATTACGAACAGGGCGAAGCTATTTTCCTTGAAACCGAACGGTTATAGTTTTGACTTTCCGCGCGTCTTACGTGACTTGACTTAATCCGCTGCTCTACCTTATGTATGCATTAGCTGGCTCTTTATAGCTTGTATCTTTGTAGCTGATTAGTTGATATGGTGGTGTAGAGTAGTTTTTTTTTTGTCAACCATGCTAATCTTTAAGGTTTCCTTTAGAAGCTTTGAGTGAAACGACGGGGGTGGTCTTAGAGAAGTGATCAACAAGTATATCTATCCACCAATTTCAATACTGACAATACCCAGCGAACAGTTTGTCTACACAAAACCGTTCAAAGTGTGGATTGTTAACTTTCTGTTTCAAAAAGATTTTCTGAACTCAAGTACAAACTAGAAAGAACAATCGCCCAAGTTATAGAAGTGTATAAATCGAATGACCCTTAGTGTTTCAAAGTTATAAATGTCTAGAAAATGGTTGAGTAAAATCAGCGTTTAATAGTGTTCATTCTGTCTAGTTTTATCAATACTGTGCACGATGGCAACGGTGAGCAACATTTGACATATTTGCCGGTATTTCTTTGTGTGGTGGAAAATTCAGCATTTAATTCTTTTTTGTCTTATGTACCTTAAAAAAGCTTGAGAAGCCTCCCTCACTGCTGTGTTTTGTCATGTCACGCAATGCCCTATGGTAAGGAGATAGCGTTTTACGTGACAGAACTGAACAACGTCTGCCACGTGGGACTAATACATGCAATACATAGAATGTTGTTTTTCCATAGGATCTTACGACAAAAACTAAATTAAATTTCCTTAACAATTTTGAACAAAATCGGATTTTATAATCCATCAAATATTTTTGTTCGCGTGCGATTGGTCGAAACGCATCCGAAGATATCACCCAAGTGATATTGCCCAATTTTCAAACCTTACGTCCATTAGGATCAGTCTTCGTTTAAAAATTAATTCGAGATAGGAAAGCGTTTTATGTTAGTTACAGAAGAAGGGAATTATTTGTTTGTTCATAAAGTCGAACCAGAAAACACTCAAAAGAAGAAGTCCCACACAGCAAACAGTAAACTGTTCGTAAAAACTTTTTGCACGTTCGTTGCAAAATATTTGAAGGAAAATAAAGACGATAGCCTCTGTCTTGCGCTAAAATATGCTCGTATATTTTTCCTTTGACGATGTTTGTTCCTCGAAGCTCTCGGGAGACTTTCCGCATCTTGGAACAGATCATGTATGCGGACAAATATTCGTGCATATCTTCGCGCCAAATAGAGGCTATTGTTGATATACCATGTATACAGAACATTGAAATGTTGTTATACAATATTACCAACCTCTCATTGCTTATTTAAATTTTTTTGCATGTCTATTAGACATGATTTTCATGAGCGATCTCATATCTGTGAGCCAGTCTCTTAGTCAGGAGCAAATTCAACATCAATTTTTTTTTAATGCGGTCCAGTTTGTCAGTCTAAACGGATTTTTATCTTGTTGTGACAAATGATCCTGACGGGTTTGCCGCACAGAGTTTCAAAAAAGGGGAGTCGGTCCCAATTAAAAATATCTTTTTCTTTGAAAAGCGGCAAGGCTTTCCTTCCACACTGAGCACCTTGGGTGATCATTTGCTTGCGCAAACTATATCAAAACCCTCGCACACGGCGAACTGCTACGCGACAAATATTTATCTGCTCGGTACGAAATTGCAGTTTGAGGCGATCTATAGCTTGCTAATGAAATAGCTAAGCTTTGCTAAGAACTGAACACTGTTATCCTGAAGGTCACTTATTCACTGATTTCAAAACACGCGCCCCAATTGCAATGTGAATAAAGGGGCGTAGGCTTTTAAAGAAATTGTGGTGCTGCGTCGGTGGGAGAGTATAACAGGGTAATTTAGTATTACCAACTGAGTCGATAACGCAAATTGGCCGCCGCAAAGAGTTTAAAAGCAGACGTTTCGAGCCTTAACCCTTCGTTAGAGCGATTGGAAAAGCTAACGCTCGAGATGTCAGCTTTTAAACTCTTTACGCTGGCCAATTGCTCGGCTGTGTTTACATTCCCTAATCACTTGTTTCGCGCGCTTTTCACTAATCGTTTATTAACCAATCAGAAGCAAGTCAAAAGCGTTCAAACGCATTGCATGCTGGGGAAGTCAATCAGAATCTTTCGGAACTAAACTTGCTGAGAGGAATCAGTGATTGGAGATCCTGCGTGAAGTTATGCCTCTATCTCATGTAGACTGATCTTTGTAGTCAAAGAGAAGATTCAACGCTAGAAGACGTTCGATGTACGTACGATCTCTATAGGGTTTTATCATTCTTCATAGGAATCTTAACGTCGGCCCGCCGTGCCGCCATCACAACTTCTGCATCACAGTGATGGCCTTTGCCATGTCGAATGAAAAGTTTGGTAACTCAGGCGAGGCAAGTGGAACATGATTTTCAGTTTCATAATTTTCCATGTGTTTATTCAGTGCAGTTTCTTTTGGAAATGATGCCTCCGCAGGTCATCTTAAAATGTTTACAGTATAAATTTTAATGTATAAAGGAAGGTCTTTGATCCTAAGTTTGAGTTTACTTTCAGTTCTGATTCTAAATATCAGTGGTTTTACAGCAAGACTGCAAAGTGAGTCTTATACAAGTTGCTGTAAGCACTTGTATTATTTAAAACTTAAGTAAACACCGAACGTTCAGAAAGATTTGTCACCTTGGTGCCAAGTAATTGGAGATGTGTGATAGAAATGAGATGGAGGTGTTTTTCTCAGTCTTTATTGCTTCATGAAGTCTATTCATGACAAAACATTAAAATATCTTCTGATGTCTTGAATTTTAAAGGAAATGATGGAGAAGGCAAGTGATCATTTCATGAACTGCTCCTTGTGCAAGACTTCTACTGAGGACAGCTTAGGTATGAGAGAAATCAGAATTTGTCATTACACTCCTTTTGTGTCTGTGGAAATGTAGCTTTACTGAAGGGTTAATGAAAAGAGACTTCCAGGTAAGGGAAATACAATTTTGAATTGAAAGGGAAGGAGTGCTCAACTTGATTGTTGTCTTAAGCTTAAAAAAGTCTGTGATTTGGCTGTCTAGTTGTGAGGTCAAGGTTTATGATTGCAGAAAAATAAATCACTTCACGTTAACAACTACTATATAACAGTGGTTAACAGAGGTGAGAATATGGGAGAGAAAGATCTCAAAACAAGTGTGATTGTACAGCAGGATTCCATAATATTAATTTGTTTCATTTTCATATCTTGACAAACTGTGGTATCCACAACTTCCAACAATTTTCCTGATATCCAAATCTTCAGAAATCCAGTGTCTGAGTCTGTTCAGTTAAAACTTAAGTGTTATTTTCAGGCTTGAGACATATTTGTTATGCTTATCTAATGTTGTCTAATGCTTCAATCATATAACTTTGTTATTTCTATTCAATTTGATAGAGAATCCACTTCATGTATGGTTATCTATGGATACAAACACCAAAAAGAAGCACTTGAAGCATTTGAGGAACAGTATTTTGGCTCCTATCCTATTTGGAAAACGAATGTATTATTCTTCAAAGGTAAAGAACAGTTAGAGGTATATGGTACAAAATTCAAATTAAGTATCAGATACTGTTTTTCTTTTTTTGTTGGAGTATATTTTTACTTACAGCCATTTAATAGTCTATTTTCCTTTTTTTATTCATCAGAACATAAAATTGTTGCAGTACTTGAGAATAATACCAAAAACAAGCTTTGAAAGGTAAACTAAAAGTTTTTCCCTTTCCAGAAACACTGTCACATACAACCCAACCCCCGCCTCCTCCCTAGATTTATCTTGGGAGAGGGCTTATGCTTGAAATATTAGCTCTTCAAAAATTGTTGCAGTGGTTTTTCTACCTGTATCAACTTATGGCTCATAACAAACCATTTATTTCAATTGTGTGTCAATGCAGCACTAGATCTTTTCTAGAATTTCATAATCTCCTAATATTTTGGATACACTGGTTAACTCAAGACCTGAAGCTAATTCCTTTAACTTTTATCATACATTTGTTTTTGGTTAATCCTGAGAATTTTGTGGAACATCCAAACAATGTCTCAAACAAATAATATTGATTGAAGTCTTTTCTTCTTTTGTCTTCTCGACATTGTATTTCTGCAGAATTTCTCCTCTGGGAACAATATTGTCCAACAGAAAAATTGACACTGTGGAATTAACTGAGGAAATTGTAGACACCATTCTCTCCTGCTTGGTAAGGAAATGTTTGCTTTCTGAAAGAATCTTTTTTTCATATCAGTGATACTATCACTGTGTCTTACTTCACCTTTTTAATAACATTGTGAGGTCTGGAGACAAACTTTCATTTTCCTTCTATGCTGCCACCAGTCATTTTGAAAACAGTAATCTAAAAGCAGAAACAAAGAAATTGGTGTTGAAATAATCCTGCAGTCATTACTGAACAACCTCTGAAACAGGCCTTGTGTTTCTTTAGATGACAGGTCTGTAGTATGAGTGAAGTCAGGGTGAAACTCAATTTCAAAGGTTTACCTCTCCCTACTATTGCTCTGGTTTTAATGAAAAGAAAATTAAGCAAGCTTTCCATTAATTTAGGATATAATTCTAAGATTTTTATTCAAGTGTCTGCATTGTAATTATGCCAATATTTAGCTTTGAATTGTCACCCTCTGAGCAATAATTAATACCATGTATAAAACCCATTTTGATCCAATGCCGCCATTTCATTTCTCTGTTTATGTACATTTTAGGATTCAGATGAGTTTTTACACAGCGGTTACCATACTTACCAAGAACTGAAAGGTGTAAGTGGACAGCATTATGCAGTAATTGTTTGGGCTTTTTTGTTAGAAAGTTTAACAAAAAACTATTGAAAATTTTGAACCAAACAGTTTAGTCAGAACAATTTGTTAATGGAATTAATTATTTATTGCTTTCTGTCCACATTTGTATTTATTATTTTCTAATTTATATAGTTATTTTTATTGTTATAAAGTGTTCTGTTGTGGAAGATGCCCTTTCTGTTGGAAAGAAAAGTGAATTTGTCACACTTGTGAGGTAAGTCAATCCACATTGAACTCTTTGAGGAACTATTTTTTTTGCATTGTTGGCAGTATTTCACACACACTGTTTAGAAGACATGAAAATGTTCCTAAACTTTATTTTTAGATTTATGTTTTTTGGTCTATAGTTGTAGCTATGATGGTGATCATCGTTTACATAAACAAGGAATTATGCTACTCTCACTCACAGTTCTTCATCAAGGTAAGCTACATACACTGTAACATAAATGTTTCAAATTTGAAAGTGAAAGTACTTTGCTCAAGTTACTCAGAGTTATCAAGTTTTCAGCCTTTGTAGAATCAAGTCATGTGAGAAAGGAAGGATTTTGATTAAGAAATTGAGTGGCAAGGGAATGGTGTGGACAAATGTCAGGCCGTTAAAATTTAGCCGTAGAATTCTCAGATGCCTAATGAGCACCCTGAAGTGGGTGAAGAGA